TGGCGGCGGACATGTATTAGCACATGGTCGAGGTAGTGAGTGATCTGTGAAGTCCCATAGTAGTGAGCGTAAGTGGGAAAGGAGGGGGGTGAGTAGGTGGTCAGGAAGGGGAGAGGTCTCCGATGAGAAGCCAGGGGTTAAGACCAGCCGCTTTAAGCCACCTGTGTGACCTGTGGCGGAGAGGAGACAGGGAAGAATCCGAAGACACGCACGACCTGTTGTGGGAGAAGTGGGGTGAGGCTGGTTCAGAGAGGGAGCGGGTAGGTGACCCAGAAGAATATTTATGCGGGACTCCTGGAGACCTAGAAATGGGGTGTTTAGAGGCGTGGGGAGAAGGTGTAGGCGACTCCTTTTTGTACCTAAAAGAAACCTTTGAAGGAGGGGGGATAGGGGAGGTGGCCCCCGATTGGTCAGGGCGGGAAGGAGTGGTCCCACACGGTCAGGGAGGCGGGGAGTTGAGGTTTGTCTGTGGGATCCATGGTGGCAGCGGTTTGTCCGCGGGATCCATAGCGGCGGCGGGAGCAGAGGGTCCCTGGAGGGATGGCATTGCACCAGCCTTCCAGATGCGGGGGTTGGAGCCCATGACTAAAATGAAGTCTGTCCACAAAAGGTAACTGGCCAGAACCCAGCTACAGTACGGGGGAGAAAAAGCCCCAGCTGGGAGGAGACAATTACCGCGAACACGGCAAGCCAAGAGCGCTGGCATCCTGGCGTTCTTGGGGCGTGCTAACTCTTAACTGGCCCGCCCAGCTACCATACGGGGGAGAAAAAGCCCCAGCTGGGAGGGGACAATTAAGCTTTTTAGGCGCCATGCTAGGAGCGGCCCGAAGGGGACAGGAAAAAGTTAGAAAAAAGGAAGAAAAGAAAAAGGAGAAAAAAGTCCAGAGCACCGAACTCCGGGTGCACGGACTGAGCGTTTTAGCCAAGGGCAAAAACCCGGGGGAGCGGCCTAGCCCTAGCCCAGGGTGCGCAAAGAAAGCCGGCTGGACAGTCTTTGAACGCCCCGGGGGGGGGGGGGGGGGGGGGGGGGGGGGGGGGGGAAGGAAGCCAACCCAGAGTAACTCATGGATCAGGATGAGGCGGTGGAAATGGCCGTGGAGAACAGATGGGGGTGAGTGAAGGCTGTCGGTTCTTTAGACCTTGTCGGCGAAACCCAGAGGCAAAAGCCTCGGGTACCGGACAGAGAGGTCTCTGGGTCGAAGCGGCGGCACCAAAATGTTGTTCTTTGTTTTTTTTTTTTTTTTTGATTTTTTCGAGACAAGGTTTCTATGTGGTTTTGGAGCCTGTCCTGGAACTAGCTCTTGTAGACCAGGCTGGTCTCGAACTCACAGAGATCCGCCTGCCTCTGTAAAATGTTGTTCTTAATTCCTGCAAGTTAGACGAGGGTTAAGCGAGGAAAAGACACAGACACGTGTCGGTCCCATGTGGTACACTTTAATGGGAGGGGGAAGGATAACAACAGGTAAGGGAAACCGTGCAGACACACTAGGGGAAGCGGAAGGAAGGGAAGGGGGGAAGGAGAAGAGAGAAGAAGAAAGAGAGAGAGAGGGGGCTCGTGGCGGCCCCCGCTTTTTAATGGGGAATGCAAAAGCTTCTGGGAAATGTGTCCCCAGGGGAACGCTGGGAGTTGTAGTGTCGCAAGAGAACAACAATGTCCTTCCTCATCTTTCCAATGCAGTTCATTGCTACTTTGTTCAGGATTTCTAGTCTGATCAATTCCTTGTAACTGTGTAATAGTCTCTGTTTTTGGCCACTTAGAAGGCCACTGACTCACTGACTAGCGGTTATGAAGGAAGTATCCACGCCAGTACCCAGGAGGCCAGAAAATCTTTTTCCATTTATAAATAAAGTGAGTTCTGGTTTCTGAGGACCTATGGTTTGTACCCAAAATGCATGAGATGAACCAAATCTATCTTCTCCTCTCTTTTATTTTTAAGACCTCCACATAAAACCAACAATACTTAACCTCATAAGAAAAAAATTTTAGAATTAACACTTAAATGCACTGGCACAACTCTAACACAATCTCAGTGGCATACACATTGATATACAATAAGATCTCTTGAACTGAGACGTTTCTGTATAGCAATGAATATAATCAACAAGATGTAATAGCCTATACAACTGGAAAATATCCTCACCAATCACTAATCCACTACAAAGAACTCTGGAAATTAGTCACCAAAAGAACAATTAATCCACTAAAAATATGCAACAGACCTACACTGAAAACTCTTAATAGATGAACTTAAAATGACTGAAAACATTCAAAAACTGCTCAAATATAACATCCTTAGCCATTGGAGAATTGCAAATCAAAACAACTCTGAGACTCCATCTTATCTCTGTAACATGACCAAGATCAAAAATTCACTACTCACAACTTATGTTTAAGAGAAACTCGTCCACTGCTGTTGAATTCTCAGAAAATTAGGCATCAAACTACTTTAAAACTCAGCTATACCTCTTTAGGGCCTATAAACAAAAGATGCTCAACCATACAACAAGGACACGTGCTTAACCATGTTTACAGCAGAATTACTTTATCATACACAGAATCTGGAAACAACTCAAATGTATCTCTTCTACACACATCATGAGATAGCCACAAATACCATTAATATCTTTGAGTAACTCAGACTATATAAATTGAAAACCTGTACAACAAGAACTTTAAATCTCTGAAGGAAGAGATTTAAGCCATTAGAAAATGTAAAGATCTCCTATTCTCTTGTAAAGATAGCACCAACATAGCAAAATTGACAATGTTACTGAAAGCAATCTACAAATCTAATGCAAATGACCATTATACTTGTAACAAAATTCTTCAGACTTTGACAAAACAATCCTCAACCTTGTGAGAAAAGACAAAAACTCAGGCTAGCCTGAACAATCTTAAAATCCTGTACAATCAAGGAATTTCTGAATGTATCACAATCCCTGACTTTAAACTTTACTACAGAGGCAAAGTACTAAAATCAATCCACCTTGGATACAAATTCACTTGCCTACAAACAGCAGACTTTTGACAAAAAGGCAAAATTGTGAAATGAAAGAGCATTTTAACCTGCTTATGTCAGAAGCTACCTTAATTTAAACCTGGCTTTTTTCTTTCAGTTGAAGCTGCACGGCATGGCAGGGGGTAGGACATAGGCTCACTTTGTTAGACTGCCTTCCTGAGCTCTGGTGGGCAGATTTTTAACTATTTTTTTTAACTTGTAAATCATAAAATTAGGAGAATTTTTGAATCCTCTCCTCTGTTCTATAGACTGTGTGAGGTTAAATTTGCTCTCTAAACTTTCTTTTGTTCCTCCTTGCCTTTTACTTACAGGTGGGTTAGATTAACTGGCTACTGTGAGCACGTGGCACATCAGTCTCAGCGGTAACTTGGTATTCTTGGGCCAAAAGTCATTTTTCCTTCACCTTTTCTACCCACTTAGCAAGCAATAAAAGTTATAATTCTGGGTCTATCATGCTTGCAGATTCTCAATAACTCTGCCATTGTTCTGCTCCACTTTAACTTAGTTACCAAAATATATAACTGAATAATTTTTCCTTATCCCACATCTAACTTATTTACAAATTTTTACTCCCAATTTAAAATTTGTCCCACTTTTCTACATTTCTTTCTCTATTTTACATCTCTAGTTCTGAGCACTCACTACTCCCGCATCCACCGATTTTTTTCTCGCGGGTTCCTCACATCTGGTCACTTCTTCCTTGCTTTTTGGGAAACGCAGATCAGCCTGGTGTTCTCCTCCGTGCTTTGTCCAGTTTCCCTCTGGGATCCAGCAATCAGCATTCACCATCTCTCTCGTGTTGTCCCTTCTCTGGGGTCATGGAGTTAGGCCGTCAGCACCGCGTTCCTTTTTGTACTTCTTCCTCCGGCCTTCGTCTCGGGGTTCCATGGTCAGCTGCAGTTGTCTTTAATCTTGGGGTCAGTGGTTGGCCCCATGTTGGGCGCCAATTATGTCGTGGCCCGTGAGGGTCCAACATAAATTCCCTAATTCCTCAAACCGGCTGGAACAGAGTCGCGAGGAAAAGAACTGACACAGCTTACACCATCATCATGGAAATGGCCAGATCGCCATTAATTCTCCAAACATTTTATATACCCACACCAAATTGAGCAGGGAAGGGGGAAAACCAATTACGCCATCACCTAGGCAACCAGGTGCCTGGGCTCAAGTCACATCAGCATCTAGCAGTCAGGTAGGCCCTGAATTAGCATCTCTATAAGACATGCTTCCAAATTACAAAAGGAAGGAAGCACCAAATATCTGAACTCTTACGTCATCAGCTTCAGTCAAACATCTCTTCTCAGGTAATCCACATATTAACAAAAGTAGCTAGGAGCAGGCATCCTGGCCTTTGTTAAGGGCAGAGACAGCTTGTCTGCAGAGCTACATGATCAGCTTGGATCGGGCTAATGGCTTTTGTGCCATATCGAAATATGGGCCCACAATCGTGTTTCCCCAAGTTTCCCCCATCCTCCCCTTCTCACTTTTCTCTCCCCATCTCCCCTTACCCCATCCCACCCCACCCCCAAGATCCCAATTTTCGCCCCTGCAATTTTGTCTACTTCCCATGGCCAAGAGGATAACTATATGTTTTTCCATGGGTTCACCTTCTTATTTAGGTTCTTTAGGTTCACCCATTGTAGACTCCGTGACCCTTAATTATAGCTAGAAACCAAAAAATGAGTGAGTACATCCCATGTTCATCTTTTTGGGTCTGGCTAACCTACTCAGGATAGTGTTTTCTATTTCCATCCATTTGTATGCAAAATTCGAAAAGTCATTGTTTTTTACCACAGCATAGTACTCTAATGTGCTCTTTGGACTGGTGAGGGAGGGGGAGAGGAGTGGGGGAAGGAGAAGAAGTGTGGGAGCACGAGGAGGGAAATGGGAGGCTGGGAGGAGGCAGAAACCTTTTTTTCCTTTTTTTAAATAAAATAAAAAAATTAAAAAAAGAAAAGAAAAGAAAAATAAGCTAAGAAAAACACAAAACCAATAACTTTCTTTATTCCTCTTCTCTTTTCTTATTTTATCTGTTGGTCACTGACAAAGCGCTTTCCTTATTTATTAAATGCAGGGACAACAGAATCAGAGTTCCCAAAGTTATCAGATTTTCCTAGAGACTGGTTATGTCCGCCCAATGGTTGTGCACTTGAGGGAGATTTTGTTATATGAAATTTCTGAATCCACCCTTCTTCCATGGAATTCAGGGTCTGGATCTTCCCAGGCTGATAGACAACAGAGGAGCTTCTCAGGAGGGACTTTTCTGCCTGGAAGCTGAAAGGTTCACCTGCCCTCTCTTGGTGTCAGGATGCACAGCTGGGCATAGGTCACATCATTTGACTCATGTGTTGTATCAGCCTGCAGTGTGAAGGTGTAAAAGAATGTTTATATTGGGAACTGGGAGCCTGGAAGACTAAAGATATCAAGACCCACCTGCTCAGTTAGCACTTGGCCTTTTCTCTGTGGGTCATTTGAATCCAGTAATTCCTTTGGCATGAGGGAAGAAGAGGTGGTTTCTGCCCTTCTGAGTCTGCAGGGTTTCACTTGGGCATAAAAGTCTTTGGAGGAGTCTTTTTCATGTTTTCTCTGCAAATGAGAGACAGTGGGACAGAGAGAATCATTATGACTCACCAGAGGCTCTCCTTTCATACTTCCTCAGGGTGCATGAGTGACATTACAGACATTTACATAAAACTAAATGATTGCTGATGTGGTCTTCTGGGACTTCCAGAGGACTTGGAGTATTTGTTAATTTCCTCCATGCACTTCTGACATATTATTCTGACACTTTGATTTCCTCAGCAGTGCCTCATCTTTTAAAAAGAGAATGTCCCTGCCCCCAGGACACTTGAATGTGCCATGTCCATTACCCAGATTGACTGTTGGAGGAGAGCTGCTTGTTGGTTCCCGGCTACCTGGCTTGCTTGACCCAAAATAATCACACAGAAAGTGCATCAACAAAATCACTGCTTGGCCTACTAAAGCTAGCTTCTCACCAGCTACCTCCTATATTAATTTAATCCATGTCTATTAATCAGTATATCACCATGCAGCTGTGTCCCACCGGGTAAAGTTTCCAGTGTCTATGTCTAGCAGCTCCATGGTTTCTCTCTCACTCGGCCTTTCTCTTCCCATGCTATAGGCCAAGCCAGTTCTTTATTCATTAACCAATAAAAGCAACAAATAGACAGAAGGACCTCCCACACCAATGTGCCAGTTCATCACAGGTTTCCTTAAATTGACACTGTGCCTCACACAACCTCAAAATGCATCCTCTAACTCATTTCCTTAACACACTTTGCACTGCTCAGTCTATGTGTTTGTCTCTGTATTATCTCCCATCCAGAGCTTATTCCAGTGGGTAGGAAGACCTATGTCATGCTACATCTGCAGCCCTTACAGGAAGCACGCTCTAGGGGGAATCCAGGAACTGGAAAGATGAGTCAAGCGAAAGAATGTTTGCTGTGTAAACCTGAGCACCTGACTTTGGTCCCTATTGCCCACATAAAAAAGTCAAACAAGAATGCACATGCCTAGGACTTAGGGGACAGTGATGTAGACAATGGTATTAAGGGTTCAATGGTACCAGTTCACTCAAGGAGACAGCTCCAGGGTCATTGAGAGAGCTTATCACAGAAGATGAGTTGTAGAAAACTAGAAGAAATCAGATGTTGGCCCTCTTTCTGCCTGTACTTACACAAACGTGCCTACACATTCCCATGTACATGGTTCTCATTTCCTTGGGTTTCCTATTAATTTACTTCTTAATTTTATAACTACAGATTAAACTCAAGGCCCTATACATCTGAAGTGATCACTTAAATACTGAGGGACAATTTCTGACCATCATTTTATCATAAGTTCTTAGAATTGTGGATAAACAAGAGTCTCACCAGAATATCCAGCTTTATGCTGTCTGCATGCTGTGTGACCTTCACAGTAGCATCTGTCATAACAAAACATGCAGGTCTTCCCCTGTCCAGATTCCCAGGATATCTCACTTCCCCAGACTCCCTCCCTATCCCAGATAGGGAAACAGAAGATGTAGTGGGATAGGGGTGCATAAAGACGATTTAGTGTCCCAGTTGCTCCACCACTCCTGTGATGGTGAAACCTCAGATATCTCCCTCCCAGGCCCTTTTCCTCTCACACAAGACTTCTTCCTGGATGGCAGGAGCTGGCTTGGAGCTGGGGAAACAAGAGGGTGTCAAGTGGCAGAAAGGAAATTCAAGCAGGTAGAGTCTGTTTCTGAGCATGATTTACCTCTTCTGGTGGCTTTTGTCCCTGGTCACCGAATCTGCATGATGTTGCAAATGTGTCTCTGTCTGGACTGCAAGAGAGAAAGTCCCTCAATGGGGAAACTAGAACCCCTTACCTAGCACATTGAGGAAAGGATGGGACCTGTACGACTCATTGTGTATGTGTTAAAATCTCCCAGGAGATGGAAAAGTCCATACAATACAGAACATTGCACTTGTTTCATGATGTTTTGCAATCAGCATCTGCAGAAGTGTTTCTAGGCTGACATGTCCCAGACTGACCTTACTTTGGGGGTCAGTGCCCTGAGCTCCTTCTTGGATATTCCACAGTGGGACCCACTAACCCCCTGAGACCCAGGCCTCCCACACCCTACTCACCTCCCTTCCTGTCTTTGTTCTGATGCCTGAATCTGAGGATAAGGAAGACGGTGAGGAAGAGGAGCAGTAGAAAGAAGGCCACAGAAATGCCAATCACAACCTTTTGGTACCTTGCCGGTCCTAGGAGACAGGTAACATCATGAATGAAGAATTGTGAATAAGAAGTTACTGTGTGATGCTGAAGAGGCAGTCATAGAGCCTGAATGGGTCTTCACTAGGCCCTCTGCATATAAGTTATTATTGTTGGTTGGTTTGGTTTTTGTGGGGAGTTTCTGACAGTGGTGGTGAGGGATATATTACACTTTTGCCTACACTTGGGACACATATTTCCGGCTGGATGACCTCACCCAAAGTTGATCATGTTTCTGCCTGATGTTATGGTATTCTTTTGTGCCATTTTCAACTAATGTACCTGTGTGGTCTAGTCTTTCCTGGGGCATATGGTGCATGGGTAGTGAAGGAGACTGGATGTGTGAGAGGGAATGTGAATGAGTGTAGGAAGGAAATGCTGTAATTGGGATGTATTATATAAGAGAAGAATTAATAAATAAAGAGAGAATTGACTATGTGGTTGCTCCATGTTAGGTGTTTGTTACTTACTATCATTTTCAAACTCATGTAACCTGGGACCACCTCTGAGCACTTTCAGTCAGTTTTCCTGCCACAGATCACCCTGAAGGATGGTGCATAGGTGAGGATTGAACCCAGGTTATCCGGTCTTTCACCATATTCCCTATCCTTGAGCTAAACCTCATTAACTGGAAGGAAAGATCCTGAATGTCCTACCCTATCCCTGTACCATACTCCTAGACAACGTCACCAACACAATGGCAGATGGAGCAGAATCACTGCAGAATACAATTCTAGGATCCTTTTCTGTAAGTAGATGAAACAGGTAAGATCATCATTGAAAGACATTTAATGTCTGTGTCAGGGTCTCCCATTTACACTTGTAGAAACTGAGAATCACATAAGGGAGTGGCTAGAACATGTCAATCTCTCTAAACAAGAATTTACTAACTGCATCACTAGCTTGATATTTCCCAAACCCACCTTGCAAAAGTGTTATTGCCTAGACCTCAGTAGTCAGACACAACAGGAATGAAGATCTGTTTTTCATGGCCTAACAATTGCATGGGGAAATTCTGGGGAATTATCACCTGCCATCATTTTCAGTGATTCAATCTAGGACAGATCAACAATATCACCTTCTATCAGAGTACCTCTTCTGCAGCCTAGCTTCTGAGCCTCTGGTTTTCTAGGAACCATGTTAGGAATCTCTGCTTCACACCTAGTAGCTTGGTCATCACCCAAGCTGATAAATGAATGAAGATGCTTGGGGACAGAGTGTCAGCACATACTCATGGTGAAACAAAATTCCTAGACAAGAAAATCTAAAACCTCTATGGAAATGGAATTTGGGACACAAGGGGACTGTGGGGAAATTTGAAGGGGTAATGATGAGTGGAAGGATGCCCTATTATCTCATCTTTTATCAGTCTTCTACCTACACTTCAGCTTCTCCAGAACCATCCAGGTTCCTACCTAAAATCTTCTGGGACTCCCATGCAGAAGGTGAGATGATGAGTAATTGAGAAAGAACAGTTTGTTTCTAAATCTCTACCTAGGTCAAATCCTAGGTCAATAATCTTGTCTTAATTGAGCTCAAAGAGGTCTGTGTCATCTCACCTGAAACTATGATCTCCACAGAGACACTGGGGTGTGACAACAGGTAAGGGGATGAGCTTTGGGAACCAAAGCATACATAGGAACCCCCAAGAGCTGAGGTCACAGCACTCATGGAGAATTCTGCCTGATTTTGTAAATCTTGAAACTGTGATTTTTGATGCAAATAGGGATGGGCTGCACCTTCCTTGAACAGAAGGAAAGTATCCACGGGGACTGATGATTGACACTGCAGGGTCACAGTCCCTCCTAAGGAAACAGTAGTGTCTGGATACACAGAGAGATTTGGTGTAACAGCAGGGTACCCTAAAGAGAAGAAAATTAGTGAGTGTAGGACTGCAGCCATTGTTCTGAGTCCCCCATGCAGAACCTAGGCTCTCTATATTTTAACAGACTATGCAATCCTTCTACCTGGACCTATTGCTCTGTGAGATATTCATCATCATCTTGATGATGAATTCCAGGTCTCCCCTCAGCTTAACCTATGCCAAGATGGGTCCCAACTGAATACACTAAAAACCTTACCTGTGATCAGGATTTCCAAAGGGTCACTGGGGGCTGACCACTCAGAGGAGGAACTGCATGCACCAAGGCATCTATATTGACCACCAATGGAGGAATTCACAAAGCCTAAGGTGAAATTGGCATGAAAATGTCCATCCTGAGACTGATGGACAGAGACCTGGGTGAGGCCACTTTCCCCCATCTTAAACAGAGCAAATCTGTCATAACTTATCTCAGAGGAACACTTGAGGATCAGGTTCTCTCCAGGGGTAAGGACAGGGCCTTTTTGGGTCAGCAGGGAGGGCTTCTTTGACAGTCCTGTAAACAGGAGACTCAGGAAGCCATACAGCTGGATCTTTCTATACATTCCACATCCCATCCTGCCTTGACCATGCCATGGCCATTCATACTCTGGGCCTTAGCACTCAACAGATTCCTTCAGCCACCATGGCTTTAAACCTGCCTTGAGGCAGCACAACATATGACAAAGGGTTTCTGGTGCCAAACAGTTGAGTAAATGAGACTTCCTCACCTGAGACATGTATCTCCAAAGGGTCACTGGCCTCTGACCACACATGCGAGGTATTAGTATAGTATCCATAACATCTGAAGGGCTCACTCTTGCCTGATGCCACGGTGATCTCAGGAAACTGAGCTAGGGACTGTCCAGTGTGTGAAAGCTGTGCCTTTTGGGACCTGGAGAAATTTTGATCTGCCCCAGTCAAAATGAACCAATCATATTTTTTAGATGAGACACACTTAAGGGTCACGTTCCCACCTGAGGTCACCACAGGGCTGGGCAAAGCTGACAGAGTAGGTTTACCATGGTGAACACCTAGGAGAGGAAGAGGCAGCCTGTTTAATGAAAGACAGCCCATAATGTCTCCAGCAGAAAAGCTGAGGAAGCACACCTATGGAAGATTATTTCTTGAGGACAGAGGCAAAGATAGTGACACTTAGTGACCTCTCACCTGTCACCACCAGCTCCAGGGTATCACTGTGCTCTGTCCAACCAGAATAGTTGTAAGAGTAACAGCGATATTTTCCTGCATGATGTTTTTCCATGGATGCTATTGAGAACATGGCCTTGTTACTAGGATCTTTTGGAGTTTGACTGTCCCAGGGTGCTGGGCTTCCTTCTTTATAGAGGAAATACATTGGTTGCTTTCCTTTGGTCCCCTCACACGAGATGATCACACTATTCCCTAAGGCAATCACAGATCCCGGCTCAGCCCTCAAAGTGGGTTTCTTAAGTTTCCCTACAAGGAAGTAGAAGAGAAGGATGTGGGGTCAATCATACAGTTTCAGAGTAAAGATCAAACTTGCTCCTGATCTTGAACTTTACTCCTAAATAGAAAAAGAACCAATGATGTCATGGGAAGACACATCATTCTCCTGACCGTCCCAGGTTCCATTCCTATTATGCTCTCCCCTCATTTTCTATACAGTGACTCTCATGGTCTGCATACTGTGTCAGTTGACTCAGAAACACATCATACACCATGGTCTAAACTGGGATCCTGTGTCTAGTAGAATATGATTCTACAGAGACCCTGAGGTACCCTCACCTGAGATCAGAAGTTCCAAAAGGTCACTCCCTTCTGACCACACCTGAGGATTACTTCTGTAAGAGCCATAGCATCTGAACCTCCACCTTTGGCCGAAGGCTGTTGGTTTCACTCGGAACTTGGCAAAAAATAACCCAGTGTTTTTATCTTGTGAACGCTCACTGCGCAAGAACTTCTGATCATCCTTAGTTAAAATGAACCAGTTGTATGAATGATTTGAGGTACAAGAGAGTGTCACAGTCATTCCTACAGTCACAACAGGGTCTTGCAGTGGCAACAGTATGGGTTTGTTGTAGACTCCTAAAAAAATACACCCGAAAAATTAAAGTGGACCACACAGTCTAAATTGCCGCCCACAGCTTTCCTTCTATGGGAAATAGTGCTACAGCAGTCGTTGCTTGAGAGTGATTTCTGGGGCAAGGATTTTTGAGTTTCTCTCACCTGTCACCACCATCTCTAAGGTGTTACTGCGTTCTGTCCATCCAGCAGAGGTGTAAGAGTAGCAGTGATATCTCCCTGCATTCAATTCTTTCATAGATGAAATGGTGAGTTGTGCATTACAATTGTAGACTATTTGGTTCTTTTGGTCCCGAGGATCTGGGCTTCCCTCTTTATATATCACATAGATTAGGGTTGGTAGTGTTGCCTTACACCAGATGGTAACATAACTCCCTGAGTTGATCACAGAGCCTGGCTCAGCCCATATGGTGGGCTTGTCAAGGGTACCTGCAAAGAAGTAGGAAGAAAGGAGTTGCACCTGTCACTAAAATGTTACAGAGAAGGTCACAATTGCCCCTAATACATAAGCTGATCTGCAATAGCAGAAGTACACATAAAGACCACACATTTTTATGGATCTTAGATTTCATTATTAGTATCTCCCATGGTGACCAGCTGTATCAGAAATTAAGTCCAGTAGCCCTGGTTGTCAATCACCCAACACAAATCAGGAATTTTCCAGGGACCCTGTGTCAGTTGTAATTATACTCAAAAGAACGTACTACACTTCCTTACCTGATACCAGGAGCTCCAACTGGTTACTGGGCACCGACCACAGCTGAGGGCTGCTGAAAAAATAACCATAACATGTGAACTTCCACCTCTTGTTGGGGGTCACCGGATCCACCAAGAACGTGGCTCTAAATATGTCAGAGTATATTTTCTGTGAGGGTTCAGGACTCGAGAACTTCTCACCATCCTTCATTAGAATGAACATATTATATGGCTTTTGTGACTCACACTGAAGGGTAACTCGCCCTCCTGAAGTCACCACAGGGCTGGGAATGGCTGACAGAGCAACATTGCTGACGTAAACTCCTAGGAGAGCAGAGCAAGGCTGTTAGGAGAACTTATATGAGAAACATGGTTCCCCACTTCTCATATTTGAGAAAGGAGCCCCCTTAAGGCAAATCCAGGGGCTAGGGGAGGGTTCTGTTACCTGTCACCACCAGCTCTAGAGTGTCACTGTTTTCTAATGAGCCATTGGTGCTTGTATAAGAACACCAATATTGGCCTGCATTGTTCCATTGAACCAAAGAGATAGAAAACTTGGCATTATTCTCAGTTTCTAGAAGGGCTGTTGGTATCAGGTAGTCTTGACTTCCTACTTTGTAGAGACGATATTCTTTGGCCTCTGAGGGCCCTTCACAGAAGAATGTCACCTGGTTCCCAGTGGCTACCACATTTCCTGGCACTGCTCTCAGTGTAGGTTTAGAGAGGCCCCCTGAAAGAAATTGACAATTGTTTCCCCAGAACTCCCCTTCTGATACAGTCTTCTTACCCAGAATCTTTTAGGCATCCCCAACATCAGGCCAAACCAGCTGTTCTCCATCTGCTCTGCTCATGAGTTCCCCTTAATCGCGCCCAAAAATGTCCAAACTAGGACAGCTGGGAAGATGCTTACCTGCTGATGCTGGGTTCCAGAGGTTCGGGCTTAGTCCTGGAAGAGAGTGAGCTGTGTTTACACTAAATCATGAGCAGGACCTACACTTCCAGGTGCCTTCGGATACTGCTCAGACATCCCGATCGCCCAAATCATGATTGTGAGGTGGATTTCTTCTCAGAGAATATTTCTCCCTCCCCATATGTTATCTCACCAATAAACAGCAGCACTATAAGAAATGGGGTCATGGCATCTTCCAGTTGCTACAAGTTTGCAGATAGATGATCTTCTTTCCAAACACACAAACACAAATTGTGTGGCCTTTGCAAACTGGTTTCTGATTTCTGTCATGCGAATGTCATACTGGCAGCCCCTGAAGAAGCGGAACTCTTCTAACCAGCTGCCTGACTCTTCCCTTTCTGGGCTTGATGGGTTGGGCTAAAGATTTTGTGGCTTCTGTCTCTCTGTGGTTCCTTAGTTTTTGGGGTTTTGTGTGTGTGTGTGTGTGTGTGTGTGTGTGTGTGTGTGTGTGTTTCTGAGACAGAACCTCTTAAACCTCCTGGTGGTCTCAGATTCATCCTTCTTTCTCAGCGTTCTGTGTACTATATTACAAACCCAAGTCTGACTGTGGCCTCTTCCTGCAGCACATCTCCACTGTAAACACCTGCATCTGGCTAAATGCTCTCAGTCATCACAGACCAGGACTTAACACAACATAAGCCTGATGGTTTCCTGACATAGCACCTTTACTTGAGGGATATAGTGGTTGTTTTTTTTTTTCTCTTAGCTCTTGGTTCTCCTCCTTTACTCTTTCATACACACCAATCTCATGGTTGGTTTCCTAGCATGCCTGGAAGATGCTTTGGGATGTTGTATGAATATTACCTAGAGATACAAGAACAATGCCTACACCAGCCACATGAAACAATGGTAACAGAAACAAAGACAAGACTCCATACAAATCTAGCTGGTGAGACAATGAGTTATATTAGGGCTCTGTATAAAAATGTCTACAATCTTGTGATTTTTGTGTTTCATTTATTTGTTTATTTGATTGTTTGTTTAGACAGGGTGTTACTATGAGCACCAGCTATACTGGAACTCACTCTGAAGACCACACTAGCTGTAACAACCATTCTCACACCCAATTGTTAATAACAGTGTCTTCCACTATGGCCAAAAATATTGGAAACATCTCAGTGATTTTGTCCCTGGAAAAAAAGCTTTGCCTACAAATTTTAACTGCCTATAGTTCTGATTCTTTCTTGTTCAACAACAAGAAAGAATAGAGATGGGACCAATGTTCTACAGGTCACTTGAGTGTAGTAACAGCTACAGAGACTTCAATAGGACCAGAGTATTGCCATGGTAGAGAGCAGTGTTCTACAACAAAGAAAGATGCAGGCTGATGCTGCTGGGATCATAGAGAACAAAAGGAACACACTGAGCACATGGTCTTTTATTTCTCCTGAATGAACATAGAGAAGACATGCATGGAAATGGAGAAAGAAATGTGCTGAGCTCACAGCATTGATTTGATTCTATTCTGCTAAATAATAATCCCCCATAGATTGGTTCCTTTTTTCCTATCACCATACATGTCTAACATAGGGACAAATTCTCACCATTCTCTTTTCTCTTGTGTTCCTCTTTTATTGTTCAGAATCCTTCTGGTTTTGGTAAAAGCTGAATTAGATTTAATGCCTGTTCAATCACAAATGTCTATTCTAAACTAGTGTTATTGGCATCTCAACTCTGAGCCTCAGCACCATCCTGATTGTCTAATATCAGTGTCATTTTCACCATATTCATAACTTCGTGATTGCTTGTGATTTGGATGTACAAGAAACGATTAACCTTCAGACAGTTTTACAGTGTAGTTGGCATGCAAGAGGGATTTGGTTATGTAAATGTTATGGTTAAAGGGCCCCTATCTGCTCTCATGTTTTGCATACGGTTAATATATTTCATCTAAACTGTGAAGGTCATCAAAATCAAACTTCCCCAAAATGAAAGTTCCCAAAATGCAGACAGTTCCTTATCCAAGAAAGAAGCCAACATTGTTCAGTGCCTTATCCTACCCTTGGGAAGGATCATTGCAGGGGTAATATTTCCTTCATGGTGTCTGAGGCAGGATCAGGGCTCCAAGACTGTTGTTGCTCTGTTCTATACCTGTAAACACATTCTTCAAATACTTTGTATTGTTGTCTGCTGTCCACATTAACGCTAAAATAGGTTAATTCCTACATTTATTCACGGGTATATTGTTTTATGTGCAGGTATCAGTTTTGTTGTGGGATATTTTTTCACTGTGTTACAAAGTTTTGCTTTGATTGGTGTAATTAAAGGCTTAATGGCCAAGAGCTGGCAGGAGGTATAGGTAGGACACCAGGGCAGAGAGAGAACTCTAGGAAGAAGAAAGGCAGAGTCACCAGTCAGACACTAGACACTGACAGGACACTGGAGCTGGAAGATGGATGAAAGATTATGCCATGATAGCTAGGTAAGAGAGATCGGTAGGATTTCTGGGGGAAGAGAGAAGAAAGGGAGAAAGATCTAATCATGCAGAGTGTGCCATAGAGATTCTAGAAGACTTAGAGCAATTCAGAGGTGCAGAATAGAAAAGAGGTAACTAAACCATGCAACATGACATAGATAAATAAAAAAGGTTAATTTAAGCTCTACAAACTAGATAGAAACAAGCCCAACCTATATGCTGATTTTTCATAATTGACAAAAGTCTTTATGTCATTATTGGGAGGCTGGATAATAAGTCAGAAAAAGACTCCTTACAAATGGTGTCCATTGTGGGGCTAAGTATTTCCACACAGTTCTCAAAAAAGATTTTAAAAAATACCAAACATGGAACCAGATGTCACTTCTTATTCCCAAGATCTTAGGTGGCCACTGCCTGAAGCTTGAGCCAGCCAGCACCATGTATGGAGATTCATGATAGGTTTAAGGCTTGTGTGTTTTTAAAACAAAAAGATAAGACACCAAAAAGAGAAGTAACACAGGTAATCCAGCCTTTCAGACTGTCTCTGTTGCAGTTTCCTCAAAATTCTGCTTCTAGAACAACTTCAGATCTGCTAGGTGAGAGGGTTCAGCCTCACAGACAACACAAGTCAAATGTAGGATAGATCCTACACTTCCCCATCACATTGGGATAGACAATAGCTAGTAGCTCTCTCAGGACTTGACCGTTATCTTAATTTTCTTAGGGATTCCTAAAGATCCATCATCTCCAGACAACAGGAAGCCATCTAGAGAGTACAATGCCTGTATTTCCAAGAGATGGGGTTGGTGGTTTCTGGTCCTTCAGTGGTTTGTGGATGTTTGACCTCATTTTGGATGTTAGATGTAAATTGTTACTGGTCATGGTAAGGGAGGAAACTAAGTAAGTGATGTGTATTCAAAGATCACTGTCTGAAACGAAAAAAAAAAGGCAATATATGGCAATAACAGGATAAAAGGGTAGATTACTGAATATACACATAGACTAAAAAGCAAACATTAGTCTCAAATATTTTACATTGGTATGGACTTTTATATAGTGATAGAAATTTAAAATTACCTTGCTATGTTGTATATACATTTCTACTCTTCTTTAAGGTATTGTACCTATGCAACACATTTAAAAATGTAATGAATAATTAAGAGATACAAGTTAAGAGTTAGCCATATGTAATAATAATCAGACTTGTAGTCATATTAAATATGTCTTAAAGTTAACAAAGGTATATTTTAAATGGATAGGTGGTCTTCAAACACTTCAGAAATCTAAAGAATATGTCATTTAAGATTTCTTTTCATTTAAGATGTTTTAATAACCTAAGGCTTTTTATGACACTGGGATATGTGTACTCCTTGAAGTATGAGTTTACTTTTAAAAAGGATGAAGAGCATAGAAGAACCTACATACGAAGTTTGAGTTTTTTGTTTTTGTTTTTGTTTTGTATTTTTTTTATTGAGAAAAGGAGAAAAAGAAACAAGTTTCCCCTTCCTCCCAGCCTCCCATTTCCCCCACTCCTCCCACCCTTCTCCCCCTCCTCCCAACCTTCTCCCCCTTCTCCCACCCTTCTCCCCCTCCCCCCAATCCTCTCCCCCTCCATCTCCAGTCCAAAGAGCAGTCAGGGTTCCCTGCCCTGTGGTAAGTCCTAGGTCATCCCCCCTCTGTCCATATCTAGGGAGGTGAACATCCAAACTGGCTAGGCTCCCACAAAGCCAGCACATTACATAGGATCAAAACCCCATGCCATTGTCCTTGGCGTCTCATCAGCCCTCATTGTTTGCCATATTCAGAGAGTCCGGTTTTATCCCCTGCTTTTTCAGTCACAGTCCAGCTGGTCTTGGTGAGCTCCCAGTAGATCAGCTCCACTATCTCAGGGGGTGGGTGCACGCCTCGTGGTCCCGACATCTTTGCTCGTGTTCTCCCTCCTTCTGCTCCTCATTGGGACCTTGGGAGCTCAGTCCAGTGCTCCAGTGTGGGTCTCTGTCTCTATCTCCATCCATCACCAGATGAAGGTTCTATGATTATATGCAAGATATTCTTCAGTATTGCTATAGGATAGGGTCATTTCAGGTTCCCTATCCTCAGCTGCCCAAGGAACTAACTGGGAACCTCAGCTTGTGCACCTGGGAGCCCCTCTAGGTTCAAGTCTCTTGCCCACCCTAAAGTGGCTTCCTTAACTAAGAATTGTGGTTCCATGCTCCCCTATCCACCCTTCCTTTATCCCCATCCTCCTGTTTCCCCAAGTCCCCCCTCCTTCCCTTCTACCTCTTCTCTCCCCATCTCCCCTTACCCCCATGCCACCACACCCCCAAGATCCCAATTTTCTCCCCGGCAATTTTGTCTACTTCCCTTAGCCAAGAGGATAACTATATGTTTTTCCTTGGGTTCACCTTCTTACTTAGCTTCTTTAGGTTCACCTATTGTAGACTCCGTGACCCTGGTTTATGGCTAGAAACCAATTATGAGTGAGTACATCCCATGTTCATCTTTTTGGGTCTGGGATACCTCACTCAGGATAGTGTTTTCTATTTCCATCCATTTGCATGCAAAATTCGAGAAGTCATTGTTTTTTACCGCAGCGTAGTACTCTATTGTGTATATATTCCATACTTTCTTCATCCATTCTTCCATTGAAGAGCATCTAGGTTGTTTCCAGGTTCTGGCTATTACAAATAATACTGCTATGAACATAGTTGAACAAATGCTTTTGTCATATGATAGAGCATCTCTTGGGTGTATTCCCAGGAGTGGTATTGCTGGGTCCAGGGGTAGGTTGATCCCGAATTTCCTGAGAAACCGAAATACTGACTTCCACAGTGGTTGCACAAGATTGCATTCCCACCAGCAATGGATGAGGGTACCCCTTCCTAAACAGCCTCTCTAGCAAAGGCTATCCTTGGTTGTTTTGACTTTAGCCATTCTGACAGGTGTAGGATGATATCTCAAATTTGTTTTGATTTGCATTTCCCTGATTGCTAAGGAAGTTGAGCACAATCTTAAGTGTCTTTTGGCCATTTGAACTTCTTCTGTTGAGAATTCTCTGTTCAGTTCAGTGCCCCATTTTTTAATTGGGTTAATTAGCATTTTAAAGTCTGGTTTCTTGAGTTCTCTATATATTTTGGAGATCAGACCTTTGTTTGTTGTGGTGTTGGTGAAGATCTTCTCCCAGTCATTAGGTTGCCTTTTTGTCTTAGTGACAGTGTCCTTTGCTTTACAGAAGCTTCTCACTTTTAGTAGGTGCCATTTATTCAATGTTGCCCTTAATGTCTGTGCTTCTGGGGTTATACATAGGAAGTGATCTCCTGTGCCCATCTGTGGTAGGGTATTTCCCACTTTCTCTTCTATCAGATTCAGTACTCTTCAGAGTGATATTGAGGTCTTTAATCCATTTGGACTTGAGTTTTGTGCACGGTGATAGATATGGATCTATTTTCATTCTTCTACAGGTTGACATTCAGTTGTGACAGCACCATTTGTTGAAGATGATTTCTTTCTTCCATTGTATACTTTTAGCTCCTATATCGAATATGAGGTGTTCATAGGTTTGTGGGATAAAATCCGGGTCTTCTATACGATTCCGTTGGTTGACTTCTCCGTTTTTATGCCAGTACCACACTGTTTTCATTACTGTAGCTCTGTAATAGAGTTTGAAGTCAGGAATGGTAATGCCTCCTGAAGATCCTTTAATGTATAGGATTGTTTTGGCTATCCTGAGTTTTTTGTTTTTCCATATAAATTTGATTATTGTCTTCTCCAGATCTGTGAAGAATTTTGATGGGATCTTGATGGGGATTGCATTGAATCTATAAGTTGCCTTTGGTTGAATTGCCATTTTTACTATGTTAATCCTCCCAATCCAAGACAAGGGAGGTCCATCCATTTTTTGGTATCCTCTTCAATTTCTTTCTTCAATGCCTTAAAGTTCTTGTCAAATAGATCTTTCACTTCGTTGGTAATACTTGTCTCTGTAGTTCCTGTTCATTTACCCTGATTTTATATCTCCAGTCTTCCCCTGGATTCTGTTTTCTTCATTACCTCCATTTCATTCTTCAAGTCTTGAACCGTTTTCCTTACCTGTTTGATTGCTTTTTCTTGATTTTCTTGTCTCTCTTGGGTATCTTTGAGAGATTTATTCATTTCCTCTACCTTTTTGTTTGTCACTTTTATTTCTTTATGGCAGTTTTCCACCTCCTTTTTAAGGTCCTCTGTTATTTTCATATAGTTCCCTTTAAAGTCAATTTCTTCTATTTCTTCTGTAGTAGGGTGTTCAAATCTTCTTGTTTCAAGATCCCTGGATTCTGTTTATGTCATGTTGTTTTTCAGGTTGTTGGAGGAATTCTCACATTGGCGTCTGCCCATCTCTTCCTTGAAATGGAGCCGGGAGAGGCCTGGTGTCTTGGTCCAGTCTTTGCTGTGACTGACTCTCTTGGTGGATCTCCTCAGTGTAGAAGCAAGAACTGTTCCTGTCTGGATGGAACTCCTCAGCACTGAAACAGGGCCACCTTGTAGCCCAAAGACACCTCTGACAAAAGGGCTAAGTTGGCGAGCAGGGCAGGGTCTGGTCGATTAGAACACAGCAGAGCCTGCAGCACAAGCTAATGGTTCCTGTGCTCCCTTGTAGGGATCTTCAGGCCTGCCTGGCAGGCAGGCACGCACCCTTCTGTGTGGGTAGCCTTAGTGCAGGAATAGGAAACTGTTCCTGAGACAAG